CGTTACCCTCGCCCCAACGGTCTCCAGGGGTTGAAGACTTGCTCTTCAGGTTGAGACCAGCCCTGTCGGAAGGCATGATATTCTTGAGAATGGTCGAGATAATCTGTTTACCGGTCCAGAGACGCTTGGGCCGAATTACCGTCGGGCCCACAGTCTGAATCCGATCAGTGATCGTGTGGGAGTTCTCAGGCCTCAAGCAGCTGTATAGCAGCTGGTAGTACTCTTCCTCGTCGAAGAAACTGTCACGGCAAGTGAACCATGTTCCCATGGAGATGTGATCCTGAATCAGACCTCTCAGGGGTTTGCCGGATGTTGCGACAAGGTACTGGTGGTCTGCATCCGCAAGCATCATAGCCTCCGAACGAGCGAGCTCGTTCTGAGGGAAGTGCATGTTCATCTCATCTCCATCGAAATCCGCGTTGTAGGTATTACAGTTAGCGTAGTGCATGCGAATAGTTCTTTCGTTAGGAAGAACGCGAGCTTTGTGACCCATGATAGAAGGCTTGTGGAGGGTAGGCTGACGGTTCATCAAAACGATATCACCAGTAGTGAGATGGCGGTAGACCTTCTTGTTGCGTGATCCTTTCATGCGCCAATTTGACGGGGCGAGCAGCTGGTTTGCCAAAGCCGTCCGCTCATCCAGACTCTTAAATCTAAGGTTGGTAACTTGGCCAAATTCGTTCTCAATAGCAGAAGCACCAGGGTATTTGTCAGGACCATTGATGACAGCCTGCTTCATCTCCCAAAAGTTATGGTTCGTCACCGGCTCGGGATAGGTCAACTTCTTCGCGAACACCATAGGGACACCGATTTCGTTGGTTTCAATATTGGGGTCGGGAGAAATAACACTTCGAGCCGCAAAGTTGACACGCTTTCCCATCATGTTTTTCCGGAATAGACCCTCCTTCTTTTCGAGGTATTGCTTGATACCCATCGGAGCGGCGGCGGCGGCGGGTCCGCTGAGGTTACCACGGTCACGGTCGATTAGCATGTTGACGGTATCCTGGAGAGTGACGATCGAGTGAAGGAGATCGCGGTAGTCCCGCACGCGCGTAGTAGAGTCGGCGCCCGCGCTCTGCCTCTCCTTGCTGATCTGGTTAATGATGTCGCAATTCTTCAAGATCGCTGTGAAGGATTGGTTCTGCTGAGCCTCCATGATCTCACCGGGTCCTTGCGGTGCCGCGGGACGGAACTTGTTCGGTGGCACCAGGATGTTCTTGATGAAGAACATATCCGCGCTAACCTGAGACTCCTTCTTCGGCAAGGGTCGGGAGTTATAAACCAGGCTCAAGATTTCCTGCTCTTTCTCAAAAAGCAGCGTCATCGCGGCGTGGACTTCGGGAGAGGGCATGAACTGCTGGGTCTCGCCAACGGTCTGCTTTCTGCTCTCAGCTTGAGCCACAATTGCATTTCCACGCGCAACCTCTTCCTCTGCACCATGTGTTTCGGAAGTGGTGCTGACATTGTCAGACACTCCGTTAGCAAGCGCCGCCTTCTCCTTGGAGGTAAGCTTCTTGGCTTGCTGAAGAAGGACCAGTGAATTCGGTATTTGAAATCCAGCTTGCGTCATGGTAAGTCTAGACTTCTCGGGCAAAGCCTTTCGGAAAATCTTCGAGGACCGATCTTTCCGGTACGATGGGGAGAGTCTATGCGCCTGGATCAGTGACGAGGCCTTGCAAAAGTTTGCGCGTAGAGAATTCAGGAACGTACCCGCTGCAGCTGGCGCACTTTTTCACAGCACCAATGTCTTTGAAGAATTCTCTAACAAGTGCTCGTCTCTGCTCCGCAGCGAGCGGGTTCTTCGAGCCAGACATGAGACCCCGTAGCCTTCCATCTGCCTGCGCTTGGCGGATACATTTCTTGACATATGAATTTCTGCGGGCGATAATGTCATCGTCGTCCTCTTCCTCGCTGCTAGACCCTTCACCATCCTTGTTCGTCTTCTTCTTGTCGGATCCCTTGCCGCCAATCGTATCGATAACAGCTAGCTCATCGACCAAGCCATAGTGCAGCAGGCGCAATTTGCAGCTGTAGGAGTTGATGTTGGTTCGGCTCATCTGGAAACGGTGGCAGTAGACACACTGGCCCTTGAGCAAACGGTACAGCTGGTCGAAATGCGTAACATTGTACACATGGACTGGGAGTTCGATGTGTCCGGGATGGCCAGTACAAGACCATGAGGTTTGGCGGCATGTCGTGCAACTGGAGACTGTCAGCTACGATTCGCATACGCATGGTACGCGATGACAAGCAATGCGAGAGCAAGGAAGAGGAATTCTTACACATGGTCACCCCAAGCACCCATAGCCGGGTCATAGAGACCACCGGGAACGGGGTTGTTGAAAGAATCCAACGTCGGAGTATTATGAATTCGCTTTACCGAGATGGCCTTGATGTCTTCATCATTGTAGACACCAAATTCAATCCCCGCAATGGAGGAGGCCACGGGCCGAGCGAAAGTAGTCATGATTCCCCTGGCAGCCGCTTGAGCGACAAATGACGCTGGCGGTGCAAATTCTGGGACTCGTGGGGGGTTAAAGGCCTGGGAAGCAGAAAAGGCGGGTTCGTCGGTCTCGACGATGCGAAAAGTTTCACCCAACTTTTTTTCTGCCGTGCGACACCGCCGGCGGACCCACGTTGGCACTTGCAGCGCCCCGTGATTTGAGATCCTTTCCTTGTCTCGATTGTTGACGTCTTTTCGCGACCGGCTCCAGATCTTACTTATTGAGCTGTCTTTCTTCGCCCCTCTCTTCGATCCCATCACTAGTCTGTTGGTCGCTCTGCTGATATCCGTGGGTGAGTGGAGCATTCATTTGTCTCTCCGATCATGGCGGACATATCAGGCAACATGCTGAAGCGGCCTCACCCCGAGGACCAAGACAACAATACTCAGAAAAGACCTCGTTCCAATCATGGATCTCCAGTGCCAGCTCAGGGCGCACCTGCCGCGGGCAAGGTTGATATTGAGAAGATGGTGGCCGAAGCAAGGGCAAAAGCAGAAGCTGTGCGTGCCAGACTTCAAGCGGCAAAGGGTATATCGCCATCACCTACACCGGCTGCATCAAGTGCCAGCCCTACACCACCTGCCGCCAGTCCAGCCATGTCGAGATTGGAACAAATGAAAGCTAGAGTGGCAGCAGCGACCAGTCGCGCCAACGCTGCTCCTCCGCAACGACCCGTCCCCACGCCGACTCCTCAACCTCCCCCATTCGAAGATGAAGATGATGGCTCGTCGCGAGCTCGAGGTGGTCTGGATGTCGGTCTTCACCCTGCTTTGCTCTCCGATACACTCGACTTTCGGGGTGCGAAAGGACGGCCAGCTTCCCAAAATAAAAACCGACGTACAGAATCACCAGCTACCGCGGGGAGGCCAGATCGAGCTGGACTTGATCTATCGGGGCCGTCTATAGAGGAAATTAAGAACAATCCATACTTTGATCCGAACCTTGGTCCGAAGGCAACAGTTGCAAAGCCCCGACAAACACGACAGCTCATCTTCAACCAGAAGGGCAAATATATACAGCAGGCCGCCGCTCTCCGTCGGCAGGCTCAGTTGGAAGCTATGAAGAAGCGGATTGCGGAAAGAGCGCGGCAAGCGGGTATTGATGAAGACTTGGATGTTGAAAAGGCCTTCCTCGTGCCGGCCCCTCCCGCAATTGAATGGTGGGACGAAGGCCTAGTAGACGGCGAGGACTATTCGGGCATTGAAAATGAACAGAACCTCAAAATTGACACGCCTGACTCGATCATCACGCAATACGTACAACATCCAGTTCTTCTCGATCCTCCGCAGGAAAAGCTACTACCAGCACAGAAGCCTATGTATCTTACGCCAAAGGAACAGGCGAAGATCCGTCGCCAGCGCCGCATGGCAGATCTGAAGGAACAACAAGCCAAGATCCGACTGGGTCTCGAGCCAGCACCTCCACCGAAGGTCAAGAAATCGAACCTGATGCGAGTCCTGGGTGAACAAGCCGTCAAGGATCCCACGGCCGTGGAGGCACGCGTGAACCGGGAAATCGCAGAACGTCGAGAAAAGCACGAGACTGCGAATGCGGAGCGCAAACTCACCAAAGAAGAACGCCGAGAGAAGCTTGCTCGGCAACAGGAGGCCGATGCCGAGAAAGGTATCCAAATGACCGTTTATCGAATCGACAGCCTCGCCAACGGGCGGAACCGCTTCAAAATCAGCAAGAATGCTGAACAGAACGCTCTCACAGGGGTATGCGTCATGCACCCTCGCTTCAACCTCGTGATTGTCGAGGGAGGCTCCCACTCTATCAACAACTACAGAAAGCTCATGATGAACCGGATTGACTGGACTGAGAACGCAGGCCCGAACGCGGTGCGCGAGGGCAACCGCGAGGCCCAAGCCGCCTGGCTAGCAGCTGAAGATGAGCAAACAGGGGAACTGAAAGATCTTAGTTCCAATACCTGCGAACTCGTCTGGGAAGGTCAGGTCAAAGCCCGCGCGTTCCGGAAATGGCTGGGGGCGCGAGTGTGTGAAACGGATTCCCAAGCTAAGGATGTCTTGGCCCGCGCGAAGCTGGAGAATTTCTGGGTTTTGGCGAAGAGTGCCAAACAGAACGAGTCGTGAGATCGATTTCACACGGCATGGCATGGCATAGCATTATCACGCTTTCTAATTACAATTTACTCTTCTGTATCATAACCATAAACTCTGCGAATTTTCCCCCACATTAGATCAAGATCCATCAGTATTGTATTTCTGTACACTGTACGCCGTACATTCGACCATGATAATATTGAAAGCTCTAAGGAAGCGTGAAGCGATTGTAGTTCAAAAGAAACTTTTTGATTACCCATCCGGAACCGAATCCAAAAAAAAAAACGATGCCCAGTTAGTAGCTCCAAAAATGCAACCGACCCCAGATAACTAGACAAGCAAGGCCCGAAAAAATTGAGCATAGTCAAGGCCCATTCCCAAAATGAAACACATATATAGCAATGAATAGATCAATCAATCATATCATCACAAATCACGACCGAGGAGGCCCCTGGTTCTGGTTCTGGTTGTTACTTAATTGCCGTAGAAGATCCAACTGTGCTTTTACTTGGTCGAAGTTCATCGTCGGTTGCTGGGGTTGTTGGGGTTGTCCTGGTACTTGTTGTTGTTGTTGCTGCTGCTGCTGTTGTTGCTGAAGGGCAGCCAAGAACAAGGGGTTGATGTGCACGTTAGCAGGAAGCTGCTGGTACGGGTTTGGTTGTTGATAGGCCTGTTGGAAGGGCATCTGGAAATTGAAAGGTGCTGTTGGCATGGCACCTTGTCCGTATGCCTGGGGTTGTTGCGGCTGGAAAGCTGCGAAGGGAGGGAACTGCTGAGGGAGAGCGTATGCACCCTGCGGGTTCGTGGGGTACGCTGCTTGAGGGTAGGGGTGGCTTTGAGGTTGAGACTGATGAGAGGCCTGCGCTTGGGGCTGGTAGTATGACTGTTGACGATCTTGATGATGAGGAGCCGAATCGTGGGAGGGGCGGCCACCGCGGCCACCACCACCGCGACCTCCACGATCATATCCTCGGCCACGACCGCGTCCACCACCGCGGAAGCCGGAGTTGTTTCTGCTGGGGCCGGAGTGGCCGTCGGCTTCAACGGGGGCTTCCTGTTGGCGCATCATCTCGTGCAGGTTCTTAGGCCGGGCGAGCGGAGTGTAGCCGTCGTCGACGGGGTTGTCGTCGTAGTTCAATTCGCTTTGGCCGAGCTTGGAGGGTCCCGGGGGGTTCCTTCTGCCTCTTGCTGGGCCGTTTTCGTTCCGTGACTCCTTCTTTTCCTGGCGCTTCTGTTTAAGCTTGCGCTTATACTCTGCTTCGGCTTCGTCGTCGGAGAACTCGACTTCATCCTCGGCAATCTCTTCGTCGTGGAAGTTAGAGGCATCACTTCCCTTCAGGCCCTTGAGAGGTTGAGTGAAGACGAAGGTGGAGTGTTCCTCGACGTAGTAGACATTCGTGCCCTTGGACAAGCCACGCTCGGCGATGTCAGCCGCGGTCGGGTACCGAACGGCATACAGAGGGTTCTCGACCCTTCCGAGAGTCTCAGAGACCACACCGGCGACACTGCGGTTCTCCAAACAGAGTAGGGAGCCGGCTTCGAGCACTTGGTACTCCCCGCTGGTGTTGGCAGTAATAAGGAGGGTGTTCTCAACGATCGCCTCCACCTGACCCAGATGCACAATTTTCATCTCCGGTGTGATGGTAACCTCAGGGATGGGAGGTGCTTCTTCGGGCATTTCGTTTGCCGTCCTCAGATGGCCGCCGGTCTTGCCTTTTCCATCACCTTCGTCGTCAGAGCCAAGCTCCGCCTGCATCAAAATCCGTGCTTGTTCTTCGGGGCTCAGGATGGGGTAGTCTTCGTCGTCATCGTCGCTGTCATCGGAAGAGTCTGTGGAGGAGTCGTCGGAAGAGGATTCGTAGGGAGATGAATCAATTTCCCACTCGGGGTGCTCGTCATCTTCTTCGTCCTGAGCAGCTTCTGCGCCATTAGTGGCAGGTGCCTCCGCTGGTTGTTGGGGCTCCTGCTTCTCATTGGCATCCACATCCATAGCATCGGTAGTGGGCTCTGCCTTAGTTTCCTCCATCTTCTCGGGTTCACCCTGGGCGGGAACAGACTGGTTGGTAGATACAGCACCGTTTTGCTCGCTGTTCACATTTGTGGTCGTCTGTGATACAGTAGCCTCAGTTGCCTGTGGTTGTTGAAGATCTTGGACGTTATCATTGACCAAATTCAATCCTGGAATAGGTGGATGGACGTGTGCAGCGGCATCCGGCTCACTGGTCGGGTTCTGAGCGCCATCAACCTGGTCTTTCACAGCGCTACTGTCCGCGGGTGTGCCGACAGCCAAGGGTGTATTGTAGAAGTCGCTTCCATCGTCGGCTGGCGTCAACGCAATCGGTGGCGTATCGATGGTGCAGGGTCTCTTGACAGGAGGACCCTCATTGGGGACTTCTGAAGAGCCCAGAGGCTGAGCAGGGAACTGATTATCACTCATCTTAAAAGCCCTTAGGACCCACGAAGGACAGTCACCCCAAAAAAAAAGAAGCGAAAAAGTGGAATGGAGGAGTGATGAAACTGCGACGGGAACTTTTTTTCGTTCTGGAGAAGCGGGTTGCCGTGGTGCCGCTTATCGATAAGCGGCGCTGCTCGCTTCTTCCGCCTCGCGGGACTCATTCCGGAGTCTCTCTCCGACCGCGTCAATTCTACGGCCTCAAGCACAAGTGGTACAAGAGGAGGGTTCATCATCCGTGAATCATTCCTGGAAACTAAAATGGCACCTGCTCGGAGGACAGGCGAGGCTTCCTCAGAATCACAGGGGCCGGCGCCTGCTCCGCGCACCAAACAACGGTATGAATATTCCTCCAGCTGGCATCTTCCATCCGCAGTTGCTTATAAGTCGTGCTATTCGAAAGGCCGCCGCCGCCGCCTTTCTACCTACCATTGAATATCGCACTCTACCTTTGCATCATCGCCAATGTGATTGCAGCTCTCTACGCACCAATTCAAGACTGTGATGAAGTCTTCAACTTCTGGGAGCCGACACATTATCTCAATCATGGATACGGGCTTCAGACGTGGGAGTACTCCCCGGTCTACTCGATCCGAAGCTGGCTGTATGTCTCTACACATGCTGTGGTGGGTAAAATCGGATCGTTTGCATTCAGCAGCAAGTCTGCCGAGTTTTATGTGATCCGATGCTTCCTTGCGCTGGTGTGTGCTGCTTGCGAGACCCGTCTCTACTCCGCCATCTGTCGCACCTTGAGTCCCCGCATCGGCCTTCTCTTCCTCATGGTCGTCGCATTCACCCCGGGCATGTTCCATGCATCAGCTGCCTTCCTACCATCAAGCTTCACCATGTATATGTCGATGCTGGGTCTGACGGCGTTCTTGGATTGGCGAGGTGGTCAGAAAACGGCGCAGGGAATCATGTGGTTCGGGCTCGGGGCGATTGTCGGCTGGCCGTTTGCTGGAGCTCTCATGCTTCCTCTTCTATTGGAGGAGGTTATCATCAGCTTGTTATCGTCAAACATGCGAGGGATGTTCTTAAGCGTTGTGGATGGCGCGCTGAGGTGTCTCGTAATTCTGGTATGACTTTCCAAAGGGCCTTTCCAGCCTGCGGTTTAGCTAACCCTGTCAGGCTCTGGAGATTGCCGTAGACTACGCTTTCCTGCGTAAACTTGTCATTGTACCGTGGAACATCGTTGCATACAACGTCTTTGGCGGAGAGGGCCGAGGTCCCGATATCTTCGGGGTCGAGCCTTGGACTTTCTACATCTGGAACCTGCTGCTCAACTTCAACATCTGGTTCGCATTTGCTATGGCCGCTGCGCCACTGCTTGCCCTTCAGGCACTCTTCCGCCCGAAGGCGACTAGCGTGCAGACTTTGCTAAGAACCGTGACTCTTATCACCCCGTTCTACATGTGGTTCGCCATTTTCATTGCTCAGCCGCATAAGGAAGAACGGTTCATGTTCCCAGCATATCCATTTCTCGCGCTCAATGCATCCATCGCCTTCCACATGGTTCTGTCGTTCGTTGGCTCCAGTAACCCGAAGGTGCCGGCTGGGAGCATGTTACCGAAGATCAAACTGGCAGTGATTATGTCAATCATTCTAGTGGCCCTCAATGCTGGCCTCCTGCGGATCGTCGGGATGATTAGCGCCTACAATGCTCCGCTGAAGATATTCGAACCGTTGGAACAGCCCGGAGTCGCCCAACCAGGCGATACGGTGTGTTTTGGCAAGGAGTGGTACCGGTTTCCCTCATCCTTCTTCCTCCCCAAGGACATGCGGGCCAAGTTTGTTCGCAGCGAGTTCCGGGGACTGCTTCCGGGCGAGTTTCCCGAGGCTGCGGACCTTTCTGCGCTCTTTGAGGGGACGTCGCAGATACCTGCAGGCATGAACGATCGCAATGAAGAAGATCTCGGAAAATACGTAAGTTCTCGGTCTTTCCTTTCCCTTTCCCTCGCATGCTTATCTTCTGAGTAGACCGACCTCTCGCAATGTTCTTTTCTGGTAGACTCGGAATTCCCGAGCCGGACGGTCACCGAGCTGGAGCCGGATTACATCCACCAAGACACGCAGTGGGAGCAGCTGGCATGCCATCGCTTCCTGGACGCGTACCAGACGGGTCTTCTGGGGCGGCTGATCTGGACTCCGGATTTGCCAATTCTCCCAGAGCCTCTTCGGCGGAAATGGGGCGAGTACTGTCTGCTGCGGAGACGCGGCGACGTCACAGCAAAGACTGCATAGGTTGGCTATGGAAACGTGGGGTTCAAGCTACTGTACATAGATATCTCCCCCGGTTACCCTTGTTCGTATGGTGGATGCGCGCCTGCAGAAGAGAAGAAGTCATGCTGATGCCCACGCTCGAATGAGCTTGGCTGGCGGTGTGGTGGCCCTTGCCGGATTGGGCAAAGATATCCTCGGATGATAAGAGACTTTGCAGGCAATGCAGCGTCAATCAATCCCGCTGGCTGTTATCTTAACTCATTGCTTGGCTGGAGTTCTACTTCGCATCGCATTAACCCTTCTGGCAACCCACCCTGCGCCCTTCTTCATTGGTGCGCTTACACCTTGCGCATCATCTGCATACTAGCTGTTCCTTCCCATACTCTCTCCTCTTTCGTATATATCATATATCATATCCCCCGGCATCCCGGGACTATTTCCGCCATGGTGGCACAGATTCTACATCCGACCATCGTGAATCATTTCTCATCATCATCATGTTTCCCAGATCGTTTCAATTTGGCCAATCTCCCATCTACGATATCGCCCTGATCAGTGCGGTGACTAGTATCAGCGTCTGGCTCATCACCCGAGCTTTCCACTGGTGGACAGCAACATCCAAGCCAGGTGTTTCGCGATCAACCACCCCAGATCTCGAGAAGAAATCGGTCGCATTTACCAGGAAACCGGGAGGTGAGCCATCTCCAACAACTTCATAGGCAAGCTCAGGTAACTGATGCGAGTAATGTAGAATGGATCCCATCGGACTTCAAACGGCCTCCAGCATCCCCGTATCCCGACTGGGATGTGCACACGACCAAGCCCATTCCCTATCGACCATTTCGATATGGACCGTAAGTGATTCACCAAGTGCACATCTACAACCAGTCAGTGACCTGACCATCCACAGCAAGTACTTCGTCACGATGGGCCTTCGCAGCCTGAAATGGGACGAATGGATTGGTGAGACCCTGTCCCTATCCCACCACTTCACCTTCGCAGACTAACGATACGCCATCTACTAGAACTCGACAACCACTACCTCAAATACCACGCCGACAAGGCCCGTCGCATCGCAGAACGCGGCGACAAATGCTGCAAAACAGCCCCCGAAGCATGGGACGCAGCTATCGAGCTCCTCGAAGAGCTGTAAGCAAACCTCTTATCCCTCCTTCACCCTTCATACACACACCTACTAACCATCCTCCCCCCCAAAAAAGAACCTCCTACCTCCCCGAACGCTACCCAACCATGTTCCAGAAGACCCCCACAGGCCTAACCAACCTCATCACGCACGAAACCTTCGACATAACCCAACGTCCCCTCCCCGAAGACCCTATGACCATCGCCGCCCGCCTCATCCAAGACGACCTCGCCATCATGATCGAACGACCCGACGGCGAATACTACCTCCTAGCAGGCGCCGTCCTCCTCGCCGGTTTCTGGCGCCTGTCCGACAAATACGGCATGCGACTCTCGGAGATCCACACCTCCGGCTCGGTGCCCCAATACACTGAGAAACTCGAAAAGGGAATGATGAATTTCTTCCGTCGGCTGAAACCCGAAGACCCTGTTGTCCGGAACAACTACTTCATTCAAGTCGATGACAGCTTGCCCTGGTCACATAGTATCGGCTCCGAAGACTCAGAGGCCGTATCGTGGAGCACGGCGCAGAAGAACAAGGCGATTGAGAATCACTGGTTCCGGTCTGAGAGGCAGAGTCTACGACGCTTGCCGAAGACGGGAGGCGTGGTGTTTACGATTCGGACGTACTTTGAGCCGATTACGGGGATTGTCGAGGAGGAGTACGTGCCTGGAAGGTTGGCTTCGGCGGTGAGGAGTTGGGGGAATGATGTGGCTGTTTATAAGGGACGGGAGAGGTATGGGGATGTGTTGTTGGAGTTTTTGGATAGGAAGCATCAGGAACAGGTTGATAGGGGGTTGAGGGTGGAGTTGGAGGATGAGGTGAGAAAGTATCCTTTTTAATTTTGATGTTGTGTACATGATGATGTCTTTCTGGTTCTTTGTCGATATCCTTTATCGAGTAACGTTTTTTATGAACATCCATGAACAATTGAATGATCATTAGTATTAGTTCTAGTACTTTTGTATTCTGTAGTTATATAGAGTAGTATAACACTGCCAACACCATACCTCTTTTCTGATCACCATTCCATAACGCCAACCTCAATCCACTAAAGAG